AAAAAGGCCAAGTTTGACAAAAACACGGGCCTAATCGGGCACAGTGTGAATGATGCAACTCAGCTCCAGGCACATCTCCCTCCTCCAACATCTTCCTTATTTACCCCGCGGCAGAGCCAGCTGGGGATAGCGGGGAAAGGCGGGAAAGCAGGTAACTGAGTTTCAGTCCTTGCACCCAACTCCTTCCACACGGAGTCCCAGCCTTGCATGCAAAGCCAGCAGGAGAGACTTAGATAGATCGTTTCTCTCTGCGTAGGGAGGGAGAGGCGAGGGAATCCCTTTCTGAAAACGGGGCCAAGACATTTGCAGGAAATTGTCTAGGATTGACTTGTAGGCACAGATCTGTTTTGCAAAGCCGACCTCTCCTCCTCTCCCTCCCATGCAGAGGTTTTCCCATCGAAATAGGGGGTTGGGGGTGTAAATGGCTCCCCCTTTTCTGCGACTCTGATTTTTTTTTCCCCCTAGGGGCAACGCGAAGGGTCCGAAGCTTTGCTTTCTCCCCTGCCCGGCCCGTGCATGCACAGAAGTGGCAGAGGAACATGGGACCAGTGGCTCCCCCTCCCTTCCCACGACTCCAAGCCTGAAGAAGCTTTGCAGGTCTCCATGGCCGCCTCCAGCGCGGGAGAAAAACCTCTCCCGCATCAATGAACCCCGAGTCACGTCTGAATCACGATCCGTGCAAGACTTCCCTACAACCTCTCCCCTTCCTTGAAATCCTCACCCAAAGGCACGCAGCGAGGCGGGGGGGGGAGCAAAATCGGACACTCGGGAAGCGCGGATCCCTCTGGACTTGGGAAAGAGGCAGAGGGCGCATGTTCAGTTTTCTTGCAATGCGGGGAGTGGGGGGCCAGGAAGGAACTGCCCTGCTCTTCCAACGGCTATCGAGGGAGCCCCCTAGTGGATCCTGTGCGCATTGCCAGAGGACCCTACAACGGCGCAGGATATCATGTCCCATGGGGGTCTGGGATGATGGGCATTAGGAGTCGAAAGATAGGTTCCCTTTAACATTGCCTATCTAGAAAGGAAGTGGTGTCTCCAGCGGGCGGCAGTTTCTAGATTTTTCTCTTTTTAATGTCTAAGAACCATCTGTGATCTTATGAACACTGAGAAAAATCTCTGTGGAGATTCAAAAATCACTTTCCTCGAGAGCAGCTTTTCTGTCAAAAAGGACAAGAAACGGGAGTCTCTCCGTGAAACCCAGCTTGTGTCTTGTGGCTGATGGCAAACTCAGCCCTGAAGTGAGGGGAGATCAGGGGCCTGACAGAGACACAAAGAGGAAAGGGACAGGTTGAGGGGAATTAAGATTTGTATTGATTTTTCTTTAGGGAGTTCACTTCTTACAACTGCCTTTTCAAATGCATGCCTCTGGGCAGCCAGGGAGACTTGGAAACATCAAAGACAGCCTGTAATAATGAGAATAATCCTGAAGAAAAGATCCCGTGAAAAAAGAGTGATCAAAAGTAGTTTCAAAATGGAGAGAAAGCTCAAACTTGTGGATCTTTTGTAACATTTTTACCTCAAAAACAAGATACCATCATGGAAAAACGAAGATTAGGAGAATAAAGTTCCACTGTTACAGCTGCATTTTCAAATCACATCATTGACATGGCACAGCTGACAGTCTTCATCCATGGAGTGGACTCAAGTTTATGCCTTACAGAGGAAATTTTCGATATAAAATCAATGCATGGCATTATCACAGGAAAAGACATATTTGAAGCAGTATATAAATGCTTAAATGACATGGAACTGCCCTGGGACAAATTTATGAGACTGACAATAGATTGAGCACTTCGATGTGCAAGGGAAAGAGTGGATTAGTGGGAAGGATGCAAGAGAAGATGAAGAGCAAGAATTGCACAGGTGAGCTGACAGCATATCATCATATATCATACATCAGCAAACACTATGCGGCGAAGCCCTGAAGGTGGAACATGCAACGAGCACTGTAACACAGTTAACTTTATAAGAGCCAAACGTTTAAATCACCGTCAATTTAAGTCTTGAGAAAACACATTCTGAACTTGGAGATCTGCCCTATCAAACAGAGGTGCGATGGCTAAGTCAAGAAAAAATGCTCAATAGATTTTTTGAGTTGCGCATGGAAATCTATCAGTTCATTGAAAGTAAAGGAAAATTCACAGTTCTGCGAGATGAAAACTGGCTGTATGAATTAGCTTTTCTGTGCAACATAACTAAGTATCTCACTGCGTTAAATCTTCAGCTTCAGGGACAGGACTGTGTGATCACAAACATGTATGATGCAGTGAAAGCATTTCAAGCTAAGCTGCGACTGTGGAAGACTCAGATGCAGCAAGGAAAGTTGAGTCACTTTCCTTTGCCAATCATAAACCAGGTCTCCACCGCTATGTTCTCAGATGCTCCTTTTGCTGATAAACTGAGCACACTTCAAGTCGCTTGGTTGACTTTGAAGCACAGAAATTCCATTTTAGACTGCTCAGTAATCCATTTGCACTTGACGTGGAGAAAGCACCTGTAAACATCCAGATGGAGCTGATAGAACTCCAAATGTAACAGCACACTTAAGGGAGACTTTTATCTACATCTGAGCTAGCAAACTGCCAATCATGCCTGGGCTTGGGGAGAAGGCCCTCTCCTTCCTCTGCGGATACAAGTCCCCAAACCTGGAATTCAGTGTGTGTGTGTGTGCACCCGCATGCGCTTGGGTGCTAGCATTTTGTGGGGAGGCGAGGAGTTTGTTGGTGTCCCCACATCGAGTTAGCCAGTGTTCCATTCCGATCCAACTGTCTTGAGTCAGTTGTGTCCAGTGAGTGGGGTCAAGCAGGCCACGCCCACCTGCCAGGCAACTGCTGGTACTCGAATATTGCCATATCCTAAAAGTGGTGAAATCTCTGAAAAGGTTGACAAGCCCTGTGGCAAAGGATCTCTCTACTGATCAAGCATATGGATCACACAGGCAATAAGGACAGGAGAACTTCCCACAGACCTGGTTCTTCTGGAAATTGCCCTCTTAAGCCATTCACGCTGGTTGACAAACAAGCTTTGTCGAATATGGGTTTCAAAACTTGGCTTTAAAGACAAAATTCTCCCAAACCTAAGAATGATAGTGGAATACATCATTGGCATCTACTACCCTTGCTTAGTTCAACATCAAAGAAAAAACATTCCTAGATTGAAGACCCACATCATACGTTGTTCCACTGCAGCTAGTCAAGACTGCAAAAGGGTGTAGTAATGCTGTTTTGCCACCCATTCAGCACTCAGCATAGTGCGCTTTCAGTGAAATGATAATCCAGACACTCTTGTGTTCAGATGACATTCAAGAGAGGAGAGTTGGTGTGCAAAAGTTCATTGGCTTGAGGGGTAAAGACGATGACGTGCTGAGAAATTTTTCTGTATGTGCAAGAAAAACGCCTTTAATCAATGCCAGAGCATCCACTCTGGTGGAGCTAATTGACTGGTCTGAAAGCATATATGAGCCACCTTTGACATGCAAACTGACTGCAAAAGAAATAGAGAAGTTATTTGATGAAACAATGCAAGTACCACAGTGGCCTGTCATGCCCAATAAATAGAGGAGTGTTGGCGAACCTTTTAGAGACCGAGTGTCCAAACTGCAACCCAAAACCTACTTATTTCTAGTCAGGTGCCAGGTGGGCATGGCCCATTGGGTGGGTGTGGCTGCAGTGCTAACAACAGACTGGGTGGGACTAAAAAGTTCAATCAATCAATTCCAACTTTGCGACATCTTTTTTTTTTCCCCGGAAAAAGTTGAAATTGATTGATTGAACCTGTTGGTTTTTTTGCACATGATGATGGAGGCCTAAAGCGAAAAGGTTTTATAAAACCCAGCTGAAAGCCTAGGACTGAGGCGATGGCACACGTGCCGACAGAGAGGGCTCTGCGCACCACCAATGGCACACATGCCATAGGTTTTGCCACCACGGCAATATATGTGTGAAACAGGCCACAGAGGCAGCAAGCAGAGTGTATAATGTGAGGGTTATATCAGAGGCCAAGAAGCAAGTTGGCAGCTGATGCCGAACGAATCAAAAGAAGATTTGATGAAACTCGCTTAAATATTTTTGTAACTCAGGTAATTGCTTTCTGATGTTAGTTTATGACTGCATGGATTATTTTTTGCTTAGCTGGATAAGATTTGTGCAGAAAAAAAACTTCCAATTTCTGTAGCACAAGATGTAATTTTGAGAAGATAAAAGTTAACAGTATTTGGGTTACAAGAGACTTTTGTGGGGTATATGATCAGGTATGGATTTACCAAGCGAAACATTGTGCAATGGCAAAAATGACAGATTTCAATTCTTGGTGTAAAAACACATATTATTGGAACCCCTCATTGAAAAAAATTGCAAAAATCAATTTTCACCCCATTAAATGCCACACCCTAGTGCGCAAGCGATACATTTCCACGCCCACCAGTCACACAAATGGAGCATCACATGTGAGGGCAAGTGCCCACCACTTATGCAAGATGAACTTTGCGCGCGCACTCACCCGCTTACGTGGCTCAGCTCCAAACGAGCCATGACTTGGAGGTTGGGGATCCCTGATTTAAAAAGCACCGATGACAAATTGGCGCCAGTGGTGGGATTGGCTCCCACTCAAGAGGCTCATTAAATAAATACTGTGTATGAAAAGAAATCTTAGCCAGTAAAGGGAGTTTGGCCCTCACAAAACTTTGCAAGCAACAGCCAACATTCTGGATGCAGCCATCAGACTTTCACTGGAGCCTTTGTCAGACAAGCAGGGATGGAAAAGGTAGAACACCCAGAGAAGGGTTGAGGCCCAGATACGTGGCCCAATACCAGAACAGAAATACTGAGGCAATAGCAAGAGGTATCAGATAACCTCTAATAAAGTTGGGGGGGGCGTTTTAACCTAAAATATAGTTAAAGAATAATGTGGCAATTGTGTTTGATATTTTGGAATATTTGAAACAATATAAGAAAAAACAATCAGGAATATTTCATCATGCAGAGAAGGCCTTAAGACAACTGCTATGAGTAAAGGTCTTTCAATGCCAAGCATTGATATAGCTTCTCTCCTCTATGGATTTTTTTATAGGACGGAAGAGCACAATTCCACCTAAAGCCCTTTCCACATTACACACATTTATATGGCTTCTCTCCTGTGGATCCTCTTGTGGGAAGTAAGATTACTGCTACGAATAAAGGTCTTTCCACACTCCATGCACTGATATGGCTTCTCTCCTGTGTGGATCCTCTTGTGGGAATTAAGGCTACTGCTATGAGTAAAAGTCTTTCCACACTCCATACATTTATAAGGTCTTTCTCCTTTGTGAATCCTTTGATGGATTATAAGACACTTAGCATAACCGAAGGCCTTTCCGCACTCCGTGCATTGATACGGTTTCTCTCCTGTGTGGATCCTCTTGTGGGAATTAAGATTACGGTTATAAGTAAAATTCTTTCCACACTCCATGCATTGATATGGCTTCTCTCCTGTGTGGATCCTCTTGTGGGAATTAAGATTACTGCTACGAGTAAAGGTCTTTCCACATTCCGTGCATTGATATGGCTTCTCTCCTGTATGTATCTTTTTATGGGAAATGAGATGATCGGATTTATTAAACTTCTTTCCACACTCCATCCACTTATATGGCCTTTCTTCCATATTGATGATTGTATGGTTAGGAAGACATTTTTTTTCAATTCCACTCTGTGGTCGCTTTGTTTCATCCCTCTTTCGTTGCATCGGATCTGCAAATTTCCCTTTCCCCCCTTTTGAATGGATCGCTTGGCATTCTTCCTTGCAATTCTTATTCTCTTGCCCCTTAAAGCCTTGAAAAAGAAAAATGAAAACTCTAGTAAGAATGAGGCAACATCCAAGCCCTTTCTTCTGAAATTTACCCAAAGAATAATCAATATCTTTTTTGGCTGTTTTGTTAGCAAACATGAAGATTCCAAATTAAAATTATAGCAAAGAGCCATTTCCAAGTGGATTTATTTTATTTTATTTATTTTATTTTTAAAATTTATAAACCGCCCCACTCCCACAGGACTCTGGGCGGCTAACAATAAAAACAACATAAAACATAACAAAACAGTACAATAACTGTCATCCAGGGGTCAGATTTTATAAACCCCACGCCTGCCGGAAAAGCCAGGTCTTAAGCAGCTTACGGAAAACCAACAGGGTGGGAGCGGTCCTAATTTCCTAATCCCTACTGATCCTCATATTTCAGGATTGGATCACATCACAACGAACCTAAGACACAACCATAATCTAATCTTTGACCTGGGACAATTCCATGGTACCACAAACTCCTGAAGTGCATTGGACACTGCATCATGCTGGAGCAGCAACATATCCACCAGCTCCCAACTTCAATAAGAGTCTCATCTCCTTAGCAAAAATGTTTAAAAATATGTCAGATAGAAGTTGGAAATGTAAACATAAGACGGGCACGTATTATCACATTTGGTGGATATGTGGTAAGGCAAAGGCCTATTGGAGAAAGATACATATGTGGTTAGAAAAAATACTGGGTAAACAAGTGGATTTTAAACCTGAACTTTTTTTACTAGGTATTATGCCTGAAAAGACTAATAAGCAGAAATTATATTTAATCTTACACATCAGTACAGCAGCGAGAATAATTTTTGCACAATACTGGATGAATGAAGGACTGCCATCAGAGGAAGAAATAATCAGGAAAATATTGGAATGTGCAGAGATGGACAGATTAACTACGAGGTTGAAAGATAAAGAAGATACAGACTACTATCAAATTTGGAACTTATTTTATTCTTGGCTAGAGGAAAGAATGAAGGGTTAGGGATTGAACATGTATTAGCATAGCAAACTCCAGACAACTTGTTGATTGGAAAAATTAACATATGTTGATAAAAAAAACCAATAAAATCTTTATATATATATATATAAAAGAGTCTCATCTCCACTTATTTATAGAGCAGAATCTTTGAAAGCCAAGGGAAATTTCTGGATGGCAATAGCTCCCCACGCTCAACTTTGGTTGATGTCAAACTCGGTACACAAGTGGGCACATCTCTAAGTGGGGAACATCCCTCTCAGGGCTCATCCAGTCTTGGTTAAAGCAGCTCAGGGCCATCGGGGACCCAGTGACCAGGTTCAGGGGTCTAATACTCTTTCGGAAGACGCTAAACCAGTGGTTCTCAACCTTTTTAATGCTGCGACCCCCAACGGGTCATAAGTCGAGGACTACTCAACCAGTCGTAAGTTGAGGACTACTCAACTGGTGCAGCACCGTTTGCAGAATGGGACTTTTGGGGGCTCAGCAGGGCAGAGACAGCCTGGACAATTCCTATTGGCTTTCAAAAGCCAATAGAATAAAAGGGAGTAGCACAGCTAAGGAAAAGGGGGAAAAAATGGCGGACTGCGTTGTTTGGCGACCCCCGTGAAATGGTCGTTCAACCCCAAATGGGGTCCCGACCCACAGGTTGAGAACCACTGCGCTAAACACACAATTCTGCCAATGGGCCTGGGGAACCCAGAGTGGGATGGAGCCCATTAAATGGCTAGTATGAATGTATGTTGTCATCAGAGTGGGGACAGGGGGGGAGTGATTATTTTATTATTTTTATTATTTTTTTTAATTTCCTTTATATGAGGTTTTTAGATTTGTGTAAGCCACCTTGAGTCGCCATGTGCCAGCAGGCGGCAATATAAATTTTCTAAATAAAAAAATCAAAACAAAAACCTAAGCCTGGAAGGCAGGACCTTGCTCAAGAGAGGCCACACCATCCCTACATGCAGCCTGTCCCTCGGGAATTTTGCTACTATTTTCTATGAAATGAGCCTCTATATTTTAGGAGCAGAAATATTATTTAAAAAAATTCCTTTATGTAAAAAGGGAGGGTATGCAGATTTCCAATTTTTCTTCCAATAAATTTCCTCCTTCCATAAAGTCAGTTTGATCAAACGGTTAAGGCACCAGGCTAGAAACTGGGTGACTGGGAGTACTAGTTCTGCCTCAGGCACGAATGCTGGCTGGGTGACTTTGAGCCAGTCTCCCTCAGCTCAACCCAGGCCACAAGGTTGTTGTTATGGGGAAAACAGCAGGAGGAAGGAATATTGTCCGCTAGCTTTGTTATTTACAAAAAATAAAGGAAGTATATACAGTGCATTCAGCATGTATTCAGACCCCTTCATTTTTGTTGGGCTGCAGTTGTTGAAATTCACTTTTTTGCTCATTAATCTACACTCAGCACCCAATAATGACAAAATGAAAACAGAATTTTAGAAATGTCTGCAAATTTATTAAAAAGAAAATACTGAAATGTCACATTGGCTAAGTATTCAGACCCTTTGCAACAACACTTGAAATTTAGCTCAGGTGACTCCTATTTCTCTTGATCATTGCTGATCTGTTTCTACATCTTGACTGGAGTCCACCTGTGGTAAATTAAATTGATTGGACGCGATTTGGAAAGGCACACACCTCTCTATAGAAGGACTCACAGCTGACAATGTATACTGTAGCAAACCAAAAGCCATGAGGTGAAAGGAACATCCTTTAGAGCTCAGAGACAGGACTATTGCTACAATAAAGGCTACAATAAAATTTCTGCTGCACTGAAGGTTCCTAAGAGGACAGTGGCCTCCATAATTCTCAGATGGAAGAAGTTTGGCACAACCAGGATTCTTTTGAGAGCTGGTCGCCCAGTCAAACTGAGCAATCAGGGGAGAAGGGCTTTTAGCAAGAGAGGTGAGCAAGAACCCGATGATCACTCTGACTGAACTCCAGAGATCCTGCGTGAAGATGGGACAGAGTTCCAGAAGGACAACCGTCACTGCAGCTCTCCACCGATCTCAGCTTTATGGTAGAGTGGCTAGAAGGAAGCTTCTCCTCAGTTCAAAACACATGAAAGCCCACTTGGAGATTGCAAGAAGGCAGCTGAAGGACTCTCAGACTGTGAGGAACAAGATTCTCTGGTCTGATATAACCAAGGTTGAACTCTTTGGCTTCAATTCTAAACATTACGTCTGGAGGAAGCCACTTCTCCCCTGCCTAATACCTTCCCAACATAGAAGCATGGTGGTGACAGCATCATTTTATGGGGGCGTTTCTCAGCAGCAGGGACTGGGAGACTGGTCAGGGTTGAGGGAAAGCTGAATGGAGCAAAGTACAGGGATCTCCTCAATTAAAACCTGTTCTGCAGTGCTCAGGACCTCAGACTGGGCATAAGGTTCACTTTCCAACATGACAACAATCCTAAACCACACAGACAAAACAATACAGAAGTGGCTTAGGGACAACTCTGTGAATGTTCTAGAGCAGTGGTCCTCAACCTTTCTAATGCCATGACCCCATAATACAGTTCCCCATGTTGTGGTGACCCCCAAGTGGGTGTGGCCACCAATAAGAGGGAGTAGGACAGCTAGGGAAAAGGGAAAAAAATGGCGGACAGCGTGGTTTGGCGACCCCCATGAAATGGTCATTCGACCCCAAATGGGGCCCCGACCCACAGGTTGAGAACCACTGTTCTAGAGTGGCCCAGCAGAGCCCTGACTTGAACCTTATTGAACATCTTTGGAGGGACCTGAAAATGGCTGTGTGCTGACAGCGCCATCCAACCTGACTGAGCTTGAGAGCATTTGCAAGGAAGAATGGCAGAAAATCCCCCAATCCAGGGGGATCAATGATGACTCAACACCACGACGAGTTAGCGGTGTCAACACATACCACTCCACAATCCAGGTGTACAAAGCTTGTGGCGTCATACCCAAAAAGACTTGAGGCTGTAATTGCTGCCAAAGATGCTTCAACTAAGTACTGAGTGAAGAAGGATCTGAATACTTACGCTAAGGTAATTTTTCATTTTTTTTCCTTTTTAATAAATTTACAGACATTTCTAAAATTTTCTTTTTGCTTTGTCATTATTGAGTACTAAGTGTAGATTAGACAGCATACTAAAAAGCAGAGACATCACCCTGCCGACAAAAGTGCATATAGTCAAGGCCATGGTCTTCCCAGTTGCAATGTATGGCTGTGAAAGTTGGACCATAAGAAAGGCTGAGCGCCAAAGAATAGAGGCCTTTGAACTATGGTGCTGGAGAACACTCCTGCGAGTCCCCTGGACTGCAAGGCGATCAAACCGGTCAGTCCTAGAAGAGATCAACCTGGACTGCTCTTTAGAAAGCCAGATCCTGAAGTTGAAACTCAAGTACTTTGGCCACCTAATGAGAAGGAAGGACTCACTGGAGAAGAGCCTAATGCTGGGAAAGATTGAGGGCAATAGAAGAAGGGGACGACAGAGAAGGAGGTGGCTGGATGGAGTCACTGAAGCAATAGGCGTGAGCTTTAATGGACTCCAGAAGATGGTAGAGGACAGGAAGGCCTGGAGGAACATTGTCCATGGGGTTACGATGGGTCGGACACGACTTCGCAACTAACAACAACAAAGTGTAGATTAATGAGAAAAGAAGACAATTTCAACAACTGCAGAATCAGGCTGCAGGATAACAAAATTGACAAAGGTTTAGGGGGTCTGAATACTTTCTGAATGCACCATAAATAAATGATTTTTTTAAATCAGAAATAACATTTAAGCTCCCTTTTCTACACTTCTGAGCACAGATAGAGATTCTTACCCAGAGAAGCCAGGTTCCTGGAATTCTCTAGCATGACTTCTCCGTGGAGTACTTTTTGGTCAGCATCCAGTTGAGACCACTCCTCCTTGGAGAAATACACGGCCACCTCCTCAAAAGACACAACATCCTGAACAAGAAAACATGTTTCCCTGTTAACAGTCAATCCCAAGAATGTGATATTTTTCTTCCACCAATTCTAGGAAAGAGATCCAGTGAACAAAATGGGCATCTTCTGCAGAATTCAGAATAAGATCTCACTGCTTTTGACTGACGGCACAACTAATTCACGTTTAATCAAGCTGGAAGTGTTTGGAATGCCTTTCTGTGTAACCAACTAAAATAGTTTTCTTAGTCAATTGATATTTGGGTCTTACCAGTGATTCCAATTCTTCCTAGGGTGGGCAGACCAGAGCAAAATGCTGGCAAAACCCACTTGATAGTTTTGCCAGTGGCTTCCTTTACCCACTGAGGGACAAATGAATCCCAATTCTACACCTTCATGAAGGAGTTAGAAAAGCTTGTAATAGTACTGCATATGTCTATGGAGATTCTCAATCACCAGGTCACGATTATCTCAAAGATGTTTTTCAAAAGGCAAAAATGGATATACTTTTTTGTAATGGTGTGTGAGAATGACCCTGAGAGACAGAAGGAAGAGACCCAATGCTGACAACAGTCTGGTCAATGAATCTGATGGCAAAGCAGGAGGGGTGGAGAAAGCGTTTTGCAAAGAATCCCCTCAGAAGGGAGAAGGTAGGCTGAGGTGAATGTTCAATGAACCTTATGTCAAATTTCTATTGCTTAAAAACAGAAAATTTATACACTGAACCCTAGAAAAAAATTAAATCTAGCCTAAATTCATGGACCTTTTCTAATGTTTTTCCTCCTTACCTGAAGTAGAGGTTCAGCCAATCCTTCAGCTCCACCACAAAGAGGAGGCGACCCTAAAAATCCCAAAGACAGCTTTGTACTCTCTGTGAGAAAGAGAAAAATAGTGGAAGCAGATTTATTAAGGAGAGAGAGAGATTCCCATAAAGAGGAGCAAAAGAATCAAATAAACGTTGAAATCTCACATCGCACAAAAAGAGATTTTGTTACCTGGCATAGTGTCTTCATTTTGATATTTATGTATAGTGTCCCTGAACAGGAGCTCTTGGGAAGATTTGAATGAATCTTTCCTCCCTTTGGGATACTCGGTCACAGCTTCCGAGGATTTCTGGACATGATGTGATACAAAAAACAAAGGAAGAACACAGAAGTAGAAATAAATTAATGTAATGCACTTTCAAACTAACAGACCCACAATGTCCATTGCTGAAACTCAAAGCAGAATGGAAAAATTGCCTCAAATACATCCTCTGGAAGAATAGAACAAATGGCCTTAGGAATTAATAATCTCAGAAAATTCTGCCAGAAAAGAATTGACAAATTCAGAGAGATCCTCTTTAGAGCAGCTATGGTTACATTCTCACACCTGCAAGTCTTCTTGCATCTTTTCCAACTCCTGGGTCAGCAGGAAGCCTTCGGCTAGGGCCACTGCCTGGGAACTGGTCTCTGCTCCACACTCCCGCAGCCATTTCTCCATCTCTGGGGGAAGGACAGCCAGGAACTGCTCCAGGAGCACCAGGTCCAGCATCTGGGCCTTTGTGTGTCTTTCTGGTTGCAGCCACTGACAGCAAAGGCGGTGAAGTTGAGTGCAAACATCTCGGGGACCCCTCCCCTCCTGGAATTGCACTTCTGTGAAGTGACACCATTGGACCTTTGAATTGTTGGATTCCTTTTCTTGGCTGTTCAGGCCAGGAATTGCCCCATTCTTCCCATAGCTCCAAGGCTGAGTAGCTGCAGGGCCTTTTCTAACTTCTGAATCTGCTGGGCGTTGTCCTTCCATCTTCTCTCTATCCAATTCCAAAATGGACTCGTGGCTCTTTACGGGTCTGTTTGTCCACAAGAAGTCTGGCCAAATTTTCCAAGACCGTTCAGCTCTCTTTCCAGACAAGATACGTGAGATTCCAGAGGAACCAGAAAAGATTTCCAGCTTACATACCTGAAATGGAAAACAAATAACTTAGGATTAGAGTGCAGTACTGCAGGCCACTTTAGCTGACTATGTTCAGCAGGTCAGCAGTTCAAATCTCACCGGCTCAAGGTTGACTCAGCCTTCCATCCTTCCGGGGTAGGTAAAATGAGGACCCAGATTGTTGGGGGCAATGTAAATATATATATATATATATATATATATATATATATATATATATATATATATATAAACTACTGAGCATCTTTATCAAAAAAAGAAAAAAAAGGAAAGAGAAAAGAGAAATTAAAGTAAGAAATTCAGATGAACCCACCAATATCTGAGAAGGGACGGGGGGGTCTGATTCAGTAGCTTGATCTCTCTAGTTATGAGGAGAATTACACAGAACCCTTCAGGATCAATGTCTATCAAAATATTGGAAAAATACATTTTAAAATGTTTTGGATTTCCAACCTGAGCCCAGGCCATATATGTGCTACGCTGGACCTCTGCCTGGCCAGCGCCTATTTTAAATACATCAAAGGTTTCTACCGACAAAAACACGGCTACGCCATGGGCTCACCTGTGTCCCCCATTATGGCCAATCTCTACATGGAAGAGGTAGAAACCAAAGCCCTGAACTCCTTCACAAGAATTCTACCCACTAGGTATGTGGATGATACTTGGGTCAAGATCAAAACACCAAAATCGGAAGCGTTCACCAAACATATCCACTCGGTGGACAGATACATCAAATTCACATGTGAAGATGTGAAGGAAAATAGCCTACCCTTCCTGGACTACGCAGTATACATTAAGGAAGGCAGAAGCCTTAATATTGAAATTTACAGAAATCCCCCACACACACAGATCAATATTTATATTTTGATTATATTTTGATACCCACTGGAGTACAAAATGGGAGTCATCAGCACCTTACACTACCGAGCTGAAGGCCTGCCTACCAGCAAAGATGGAAAAGAAAAAGAACTAAAACACATCAAGGAAGCCCTCAGAATTTATGGCTATCCCAAATGGTTCTTCCTCAAATCTCATTGTCTCCATAACAGACAATGAAGAGAACAATAAATGAAGCAACGTTGTCATTCCATACATCGCAGGAATATCGGAAAAATTCAGGAGGCTCTTCAGCCAGCACAACATACACGCACACCCAAGAATACTGTACACTTAAGGCAGAAGCTTGTCCACCCCAAGGATTAAAACAGCCAGACACAAACTGAGCAACGTGGTATATGCAGTGAGCCTTGTTCAGATCTGTACATTGGGGAAACAAAATCACCACTTTGCTTCTTGGAGGAGAAGCAGAATGTTTTTAAAGAAAAGAAGAAAGTCCAGTTGCGCCTGAAAAATCACCTTTGGGACAACCTTGAGCTGGATGACTGAGACTCTCCATAGAGACTTTTGGATTTCTACTTCCCAGTTTTGATTAAAATTTAATTTTTATCTCTTCTGTATCGTTTTTATAAATTATTCTAGCCAATTATATATAATGCTCCTTCTCACTATTTCCCCCACAACAGCCCTGTGAAGTGGATTGGGCTGAGCGTTGGGATGAGCTCAAGGCTTTCATGCCAGAACTAGATTAACTAGAAATTCAATCTCCTGGTTTTAAGCCTAGTGCTTTCATCCCTGAACCAAAACGCTCTCTATGGCGAATTGTAATTTAATTTAACATAATTTAATAGACAGTTTAGTATCATTTCTAGGGGCAGCATAGAAAGTTAAGAACAACTATTTGCACAATTCAAATCATAAACGTCCCAGGTCACAACTATTGACATGAGGGGCTGTCTAAATCCATTTAGTAAGCAAAATAAATCAGCAATGGATTTCAACACCCAGGCTTTGCAAAGGCCAAGTCTGACAAAAACACGAGCCTAACCGGATACATAGTGTGAATGATGCCCTAAGCCAGGGGTAGGCAACCTCGGCTCTTTTATGACTCATGGACTTCAACTCCCAGAATTCCCGAGTCAGCCATGCTGACTCGGGAATTCTGGGAGTTGAAGTCCATGAGTCATAAAAGAGCCGAGGTTGCCTACCCCTGCCCTAAGCTTTGCTTCCTCCCCTGCCCGGCCCGCGAATGCACAAGAACGGCAGGGGAACATGGGACCAATGGCTCCCCCCCCCCTTCTTCCCACGATTCCAAGCCAGGTGAAGTTTTGCGGGTCTCCATGCTCGCCTCCAACGCGGGAGAAAAGCCCCTCCCGCATCACTGAACCCCGAGTCACGTCTGGATACCGAACTGTGCAAGACTTCCCTGCAGCCTGTTGGCTCCCTAGATAGAAAGATTCACCCCAAAGGCTCGCAGCGAGGCGGGGGAGCAGACGGACGCTGTAGAAACGGCGGACGCGCGTTCCAGCCGTTTCCGCAGTCTTGACTAGCGAAAGAGGCAGAAAGCGCATGCTCGGTTATCTTGCAATGCGAGGGAGCCCCCTGGTGGATGCTGTGCGCAATGCCCTGTTGAGAGAGAATATCAACAATTGTTGCAGTGGTGTAGGCGCAGGGGTAGGCAACCTGGCTCTTTTATGACTTGTGGACTTCAATTATGCTGACTCAGGAATTCTGGGAGTTGAAGTCCGTGAGTCATAAAAGTTGCCTACCCTCCTAGGGGCATCTTTGCAGGGTTCCCGATCTTGCCACATGGGTTTGAGTCCCGGCTGACACATACCTTGTTTCACCTTTTACCTTTCTGGGATCTGTAGGCAGCATAGTCAGACCACGTTTCATCCCAGTGGGAGAAAAAGAGCCCTGACTTCAAAAGGAATAAAAACCGTGAAAGGCAAAGAGAACCCTTGGCATCGGTTAGGAGTCTTCAGACTGAGGGAGGCTGGTGCCATTGAGCGTACCCAGGTGGGATCTGAGACTTTAATCTTTAATCTCCCGATGTGCAGTCAGGTCTTTGGGCAAATTTATTCATTATTCATTTATTCATCAGTGACTCCGGGCTGCTTACCAAGATTAAAAACCCAATACAAACCAATAAAAAGCAATAACCCACCCATCCACCCAGCAACAACAATTCATGAAATAAACCACTTGATGGGCTCCATCCCAGTCTGGGTTCCCCAGGCCCTTCGGTAAAACCAGGTCTTCGGGACCTTATAAAAGAGGGTTAAAGAGGGACCCATCTTATTTCTGCGGGGATGATGTTCCGCAGGGAGGGAGCCACCGTAGAGAAGGCCCTTCTTCTTGGTCCCATTAAATGCACCTCCTTAGGAGAAGGGGACCCACAGAATTCCTTGCCTACTCATTCTGGTAGATTGGATAGATGCAACCAGAAGAGGCTCCCTATAGGGGTTTAAATATGACATTCGGCATCTTGAATTGGACCCAGACGCAAATCAGCAGCCAATGGAGCACCAGCAGGAGAGATGACAGATGTGCCCACTTTAGCCTGTACAGAACCATGGAGACCACTGCATCTTGAACCAATTGAGGCTTCTGGATACTCTCCAAGGGCAACCCACATAGCGGGCAAGAAATTAGTTTTTCATCAGCTTCTCCACTTGGTCTCCTGATAAGCGGGTGTTTTACTGATCGTTGGTTCATGGCTTCTTTCAACTGTTGCCCTCCTAGGATGTGCGGGAAGCCTAACCAGATAAAACTTTTATTCCACCTTCAGCCTCAGTTAGGCTGCCTGCTAAGGCTATCTTCTCTGGCCCTCTGATCACAGAAAGAAAATGATCCACAGAAAGATCAATGATCTTGATCCAGTTCTGCAAAGCCATACCAGTGATCTAGAGCAGTGGTTCTCAACCTGTCTAATGCCGTGACCCCATAATACAGTTCCCATGTTGTGGTGACCCCCAAGTGGGTGTGGCCACCAATAAGAGGGAGTAGGACAGCTAGGGAAAAGGGAAAAAATGGCGGACAGCGTGGGTTGGCGACCCCGTGAAATGGTCGTTCGACCCCAAATGGGGTCCCGATCCACAGGTTGAGAACCACTGATCTAGAGGCATCACGGAAGAGTCCCAATCTTGGATCCTGTGTCTGACTCCTGGTTGCCACAGGTTTTCCTCTCTACTTTACAAAGTGAACCAAATGTGTTCTCACTCAGACCACACTAGTATGAAAAAGACCCAGCTGGTAAGAATTAGTGTGTAAGCATGTGCACGCTGTCACAAGCATAAAAATCACCATTCAATTATTTTTTTTAATTATTATATATGTCAAAGAAAAATAAAATTAAATAAATATACTTGGATGAAAAGGGGTGAATTTTAATGTTGGAAATAGTATTAGAGTAAAAACAGTATATGCACTAAATAACATGAGAATATTTGTATGATCACCATGCTTAGATGGAATTCCGGTCGAATCTTATAAAAAATATGAGTATTACTACAATGAATAATGTTGGATTCCTAGTAAGTAGTAGAATATGAAAGAAGGAAAATGTAAATAAGAAACAATGGGGCAATAAGGACAAATATTTCAAAGAAGAAAGAGGGGGGAAATGTAAAGAATAGAAGAGTACTGTTACAAACTGCTGTTAACAAAAAAGGATATATTACGTGTGTACGTGTTTAATGTTTGTTGTGTTTTGTTTTGTTTTGTTGGTCTAAAATAAAAAAAAATCTTTAAAAAAAATCACCATTCATTTTGCCTTCACTCAACTACCTGTCTGTCCATGATGGGTTTGAAAGAGGGATCGATTGTGAGGTATACAGGTAGTCCTTGGTTAAGAAATGGAATCCGGATCTGAATTTGCATCACTAAGTGGTGATGAGATCACAAAAGTCAGTCCCAGTGTTGGGAAGGTGCCAGCACTTTAGCTGCTGTCCATTAATAGAGAAGAACAACAGAGGAAATCCTAGAAAGGATTTAAAGACAGACCAGAGCTTGAAACAGTAAAAATATTGTTGTATACCACTACTGGTATATTAACAATAGTTAATATACTTGCTGTAGAAATAATATATATAGCATAGATGGACAGTAGTATATAGTAGAATAGTATCTTAAAGACAACATTATATAGTATAAATATAGTAGAGATCTAGTATAAGACAGCAAAAATAAAAAGAACTTGCACATTGTATGTTTCACTTTTGTATTTTGAATATTTTTTCAAAGTAAAACATCTCCACAACCCTTATCAGGAGACAAAGAAATTAAATTGTCTAGAATCCAGTGCTGTTGATTGATCTTTTGAGCTCAAGTCAATCAAATTGGGTATCATTTAAAAAGAATCTGTAACTAACTGATGGCAGTGGTGGGAACAGCTCTGACTCCAGGGACTCATTACGTACTGTGTATGAAAACAAATGTTAGCTGCTAAAGGAAAGGATTTGGCGCTCACAAAGTACAAGACTTTGCAATCAACAGCCAACATTCTGGATGCAGCAATCAGGCTTCTCACTGGAGCCTTCCAAAGACAAGGTAGACGTAAAAGGTAGAAGAGCCAGAAAAAGGGCTAGGCCTAGGCCAAGATAACCTGGGCCAATATCAGAACAGAAATATTGAGGTAACAGCAAGAGGTATCAGATAACCTCTAATAAAATGTGCTTTTTTTTTAACCTAAGTCGAAGAATAATGCGAGATTCGTTTGATATTTTGGAATGTTTGAAATAATATAATGAAAAACAAGAATGATATTTCTAGATGCAGAGAGGCCTTGTCCTTTCACGGCTATTTTCCTAATCCTTGTAATGCTCTTCCGTATGTATCGTACATGTCCTGTAATCCTAAAAAAATTGTTCATGACTCATTAGGTCAGGGGTTCTCAACCTTGGCAACTTTAAGACTTGTGGACTTCAATTCCCAGAATTGAAGCTTTGCTGGCTGAGGAATTCTGGGAGTTGAAGTCCACAAGTCTTAAAGTTGCCCAGGTTGAGAACCCCTGCATTAGGTTCTTTTTGAATGCTTGGCTAGAAATCAGGGGTAGGCAATCTTGGCTCTTTTGTGACTTGTGGACTTCAACTCCCAGAATTCCTCAGCCAGCATGGCTCAGCTTGGAAACCTCTTTCCCCTCAGCATGACTGGCTCAGGAATTCTGGGAGTTGAAGTCCACCAGTCATAAAAGAGCCAAGGTGGCCTACCCCTCTGCTAGATAGTCATTTTTCTCTTGATAGTTACTGGCATCTGGACACAGCTGGGAACAGATTTAAAGGTGAAGATATTTCCCCAGCATTGGAAACTTGTAATGGTTTGTGGGAATCACCTTGAGGGACAAGGGAAATAGATGGTCCCAAAGGAATAATGCGATAAAATGTAGAAAAGCCTGCAGCTGCACAACAGGCAAAGAAAGAAACTAATTTGATCCATCAGGCTGTTGTTTATTTATCACCCATGTTGCATTTCGAGACAACTTTAAATGTGATCGCCAATGTGTACTTTCAGATTTGCACCATTCTATTATTATATTAGCCTATCCGGCCATGTTTCCTAACTCTTATTACCTTGCAGGACCGATAGACCATTACTGACTTTTGTGTAAATGATTTCAAGTTGCTGTAAGATTCCAAAAGCCCCATGTAGGCCTCTCCAAAAATAACCCAATGTTTGTTAATTGATAATCAGCCCAAAGTTCATTTAACTATGTAACTGGAAAGAAATCATACCAACTGTAAGTCATTAATTTAATCTAAGGCTACAGGTACATGTACCAAAAAAAATCCATTTTAGCTTCTATCTGTGACAGGAAAACAGAACTTGGCACCTTCGCCAAATAAAAACCTTGCTGTGTGCATTTATAGGACTTTTCACCATTGTAGCTTGTTTTCTTCCTCTGAGGTTTCTTCCTATTAAATAACAGGCTGGTCATATCCCTGAAAGGGCAATTAATGCCCTTTATCTGCAATGACACTCACTTTTTAGTTCTAACTTCCTACTTAGCAAAAAACCCCAAGCAGGATTTAGGATCCACCTTTTTCTAGTTTGGATCATTTATCCATGCGTATTGAAGGTCCAGAATTTTATTTTATACTCAAGTGGTCCTTCCATGAGATTTGAGATGACTACAGGTAGTCTTTGACTTACAACAATTCACTTTGTGACTGTTCAAAGCTACACCACTGAAAAAAGGGACATTACTGTTTTTCACACTTACAACCATTGCAGCGTTCCAATGGTCACCTGGCCAAACTTCAGGTACTGGGCAACTGATTCACACTGATGAGGGTTGCAGTGTCCCCGGGTCATATAATCCCCTTCTGTGACCTTTTGACAGGCAAAGACAACAGGAAGCCAGATTCACATAACAAGTGTTAAGCGGACTTGACAATTACCGTATTTTCCAGCTTATAAGACGACTTTCTAAAGCTTGCAAATCAACTCCGAAGTCGGAGGTTGTCTTATACGCCGAGTCGTCTTATACGCTGGAAATTATGGTAGCTTCCGGCGTATAAGACGACTTTCTAGGCATGCAAATCAGCTCTGAAGTTGGGGGTCGTCTTATACGCCGAGTCATCTTATACGCTGGAAATTACAGTAACTAACTTGACAATTAAAGTGATTCATTTAACAAATGCGGCAAGTAAAGATGTCGAATGGGTCAAAATTTACTCAATAACCATCTTGCTTAGCCACAGAAATGTTGGGCTGAATTGCAGTCATAAACCGAGGATTACCCATATTTCTACTGAAAGTCTTTCCATACTTCCTCTGCTGATATGACATCTCCCGCGTGTGGATCCTTCTATGGCAAGTGAGGGCATTGCTCCTTGCAAAGCTCTTTCCACACTCCAGGCACTGATACGGTTTCTCCCCTGTGTGGATCCTTTTGTGGGAAGTGAGATCACAAATCCACCTAAAGCCTTCTCCACATTCCACACATGGATATCGCTTCTCCGTTGTATGGGTCCTCTTGTGGGAATTAAGACTACTGCTAAAACTAAAGCTCTTTCCACACTCCGTGCACTGATATGGCTTCTCCCCTGTGTGGATCCTTTTATGGGAAGTGAGATCACAGTTCCACCTAAAGCCCTCACCACAGTCCACACACTGATACGGCTTCTCTCCTGTGTGGATCCTCTTGTGGGAATTAAGGTAACTGCTATGAATAAAGGTCTTTCCACACTCCATGCATTTATATGGTTTCTCTCCTGTGTGGATCCTCTTGTGGGAAGTAAGATTGCTGCTACAACTAAAGGTCTTTCCACACTCCGTGCACTGATATGGTCGTTCTCCTGTGTGATTCCTCTCATGACTTCTAAGAGACTGATTATTACAGAAGGTCTTTCCACACTCCCCGCAGATAAATCGTTTCTGTGCCGAATGTGTCTTTGTGTGGGAAATGAGATGATCGGCTTTATTAAAGCTCTTTCCACACTCCGGGCATTTGTATGGTTTGTCTCCCGTATCGATGCTTGTACGGTTAGGAAGCCAGCTGACCTGAGGAAAGACGTTTTTAATTCCACTTTGCGATCCGTTTGTTTCGTCACCGTTTGGTTGCACCTGATCTGCAAAATTCCCTTTTCCCTCTTCCGGATGGATCGCTTGACATTCCTCCTTGCAATTCTTATCCTCTTGTCCATTAAAGCCTTGAAAAAAAAAAATAAAAATTGTAGTGAGAGTAGGAAACCACCATCAAACCTTTTCTTCTGAAATTTAGCCAGAGAATATCATTACATTTTGCCTGCTTTGCTGACAAATATAAAGAAGCCAAACGTAAATGTTATCAAATACTCATTTCCAAGGGGCTTCTACGAATCATCATCATCATCATCATCATCATCATCATACTTGAACACCATTGGCATTGACAAATTCGCTATTAGTCAATTGCAAAAGGCGGCCTTACTAAGAACTGCTTCCATTCTGCGACGATATCTGTAATACCATCAAACATCCACATCTGCCTATCCCAGGTCCTGGGTAAGGACTCGATAGGTAGACAAAATGCCAAATCCAGTCTGAACATCTGGCTGACTGTGCGATGATCCATAATAATAATAATAATAAAGTTGGAAGGGACCTTGGAGGTCATCTGGTCCAACCCCCTGCTCAGACAGGAAACCCTATACCATTTTGGACAAATGGCTGTCCAGTCTCTTCTTAAAAACTGCCAGTGTTGGAGCATTCACCACTTCTGGAGGCAGGTTGTCCCACTGGTTAATTGTTCTAACTGTTAGGAAGTTTCTCCTTAGTTCTAGGTTGCTTCTTTCCTTGATTAGTTGGATGGCATCACAACAAACCTAAGACAAATCCTTAATCTAACCTTTGAACATCACAGTGTGTCAACCCATTGATGCCCCAGGACAATTCCATGGTGCCAGAAAACTCCCTGAGTGCATCAGATATTGTATCATGCTGGGCAGCAACACACCCACCAGCTCCCCAGCTTCAGTGAAAAATCTCAACTCCACTTGTCTGCAGAGCAGAATCCCTGAAAGTCAATAAACTTTCTGGAAGGCAATAGGTCCCCACCCTCAACCTGGAATGATGCCAAACACTGTACACAAGTGAACCCATTCCTGAGAAAGGAGCATCCCTCTCGGGATGGGTACATCTGGCTCTTGAACATGCATGCCAGTCTGGTACTTCATCCACCTTCAAATCATGGCTGCAGACACTCATACTATTTACCAAGCTGGTATTCAATAACATCCGGTATCAAATAGCAGCTCAGTGACCAGGCTCAAAATTAAGCCCTAGAAGTCAGGGCCTTGCTCAAGAGAGGCCACACCAGCCCTACGTGCAGCCTGTCCCTCAGATTCCTGCTAATATCTTGTATGGCGTGGAAATGAGTATCTTCTATTTTATGAGTAGAAAGCGTTTTGAAAGAAAGTCACCTCCTTTATGTAAAAAGGGAACTCTGTGCAGTTTTCCAGTTTTTCTTTCAATAAATCTCCTTCTTCTATAGAGAGCTATTTGGTCCAATGGTTAAGGCATTGAGGCTAGAAACTGGGTGACTGTGAGAACTACTTCTGCCATAATAATAATAATAATAATGATGATGATGATGATAATAATAAAGTTGGAAGAGACCTTGGAGGTCATCAAGTCCAACCCCCTGCTCAGGCAGGTAACGCTATACCATTTTAGACAAATGGCTATCTAGTCTCTTCTTAAAAACCTCCAGTGTTGGAGCATTCACCGCTTCTGGAGGCAGGTTGTTCCACTGGTTAATTGTTCTGTCAGGAAGTTTCTCCTTAGTTCTAGGTTGCTTCTCTCCTTGATTAGTTTCCATCCGTTGCTTTTTGTCCTGCCTTCAGGTGCTTTGGAAAATAGCTTGACTCTCTCTTCTTTGTGGCCGCCCCTGAGATACTGGAACACTACTATCATGTCCCCCCTCATCCTTAACACACCCAATTCCAGCAACCGTTCCTTATATGTTTTAGCCTCCAGTCCCCTAATCATCTTGGTTGCTCTTCTCTGTACTCTTTCTAGAGCAGTGGTTCTCAACCTGTGGGCCGGGACCCCATTTGGGGTCGAACGACCATTTCACGGGGGTCGCCAAACAACGCAGTCCGCTATTTTTTCCCCCCTTTTCCTTAGCTGTACTACTCCCTTTTATTCTATTGGCTTTTGAAAGCCAATAGAATAGACTCTCTTGAATACAGTCTAATTCTATTGGCTTTCAAAAGCCAATAGGAATTGTCCAGGCTGTCTCTGCCCTGCTGAGCCCACCAAAAGTCCCATTCTGCAAATGGTGCTGCACCAGTTGAGTAGTCCTCGACTTACGACCGGTTGGGGATCGCGGTATTAAAAAGGTTGAGAACCACTGTTCTAGAGTCTTAAGCATGAATTATATGGCTGGGTGACTTTTGGCCTATCTCCCTCAATCCAACCAACCCATGTTTACAGGGTTGTAGTTATAGGGAAATCAGCAGAGGAAGGAGTATTAAGTATATCTGCTGTCTTGAATTGTTTACAAAAAATAATACAGGCAGATTAGTAATAAGTGCTATTTTTTTTCCAGAAATAACATTTAAACCCACATCCCATGCCTTTTCTATGTTTCTAAGCAGAAATAGGGATTCTTACCCAGAGAAGCCAGATTCCTGGAGTTCTCCAGCATGACTTCTCCATGGAGTGCTTTTTGGCCAGGATCCAGCTGGGACCACTCTTCCTCAGAGAAGTACACAGCCACTTCCTCCAAAGACACAACATCCTGAGCAAGGAAAGAAGTTTCCCAATTAACAGATAATCCCAAGAACAGTTTGACAGTTTTCTTTCACCAATTCAAGCAGAGAGAGAGAGAGAGAGATCCTATGAACAAAATGGGCATCTTTTGCAGAATTCAGTAAGAGAACTTACAACTTTTGGCTCATAGCACAACTGAAGCACAACTGATCAAGTTGGAAGGACTCAGTTAGATATAATATAGAATTAGAAGATTGGCAAAAGTTATGGGAAAGAAATGTTAAATTAACAAAAGCAGTGCCATATAAAGTAAACTTGTATAAAATGATTTACAGATGGCATATGACACCAGTGAGATTAGCAAAAATGTTTAAAAGTACTTCAAACAACTGTTGGAAATGTAAACAGAGACCAGGTACTTATTATCATATCTGGTGGACATGCTCCAAAGCAAAAAAAAAAAAAATGGGGTTAAAATACATTTATGGTTGGAGAAAATGATTAAAAAATAAATAGACTTTAAGCCAGAATTATTTTTGTTAGGAATAAGAGGAGCTAATTATGAGAAAGATTGCAGATATCTAATACTACACATATTAACGGCAGCAAGAATTGTATTTGCCCAACATTGGAAAAATGAAAATTTTACCAACTGAAGAAGTACTAATCAAGAAAATTCTAGAGTGTGCAGAAATGGACAGATTGACTTTAAAGATGAAAGAGAAAGAAGACTCAGTGTATTTTAGAACATGGGATAATTTTTATCAATGGCTAGAAGAACGAGTCAGGGAGAAAGGAATGTGATATGTCATTCTGAATATATATTAGTAAGAAGAAGGCTATTGAGTGATGAATTAACATATTGTTTATAATTAACTATATCTATTATTCTTAGTTAAATACATGTACCCAGACATAATGCTGTTTGTTAAATATTGAAAATGTTATTTGCAAAAACCCCAACCCTAACCCAAATCCCAACCCTAATCCTGACCCCACTTTATCCCTAATCCTATAAAAACTAATAAAATCTATACAAAAATAAAATAAAAGGACTCAGAATGCCTTTCATGAAGCCCATTAAAATAGCTCTCTTGGTCAATTGGTCTTAAACCTACTTATCAATGGCTCCAATTCTTCCTAATGTAGGCAGAAGGAAACACAGGGATTACTCATCTGACTTTTTTAACCAATGGTTTATTTACCAACCGAGGGAACAAACTCTTCCCCCCCAATCCACACCTTTATGAAGGTGTTGGGGAAGATTGTAATGGTAGTGAGAATGACTCTGGGAATTTTTCAAAGACATGATTTAAAATCTGAGTTGCTTAGAAATAGCAATATTATATATTTTCCAGAACAAAATAAAACCCAGCATTCATGGATATTTATCAATGTTTCTCCTCCTACCTGTGATAGAGGTTCAATCACTCTTTCAGCTCCACCAGAAAGAGGAGGCGATTCTAAAAGAACCAAGGACAGCTTTCTATTCTCTGCGAAAGAGAAAATGGTGGAAGCATATTTGTTAAATAGAGAGATTACAATCAAGAGGAGCAAAAGAATCATCTGAATGTCCAAACCCCACATCACACGTAAGGAGCTTCTGTTACCTGGCAGGGTGTCCTGACTTTGATCTTTCTGGAAGCTTTTCCTGAATTGCAGCTCTTGATAGAGTTTGGGTGACTCTTTCCTCTCCTTGGGATAACCAAACACATCTTTCAAGGACTTCTGGAGGTGATGTCCCAGGAGAAGCAAGGAAAGAGGGAAAGAAACGAATTATCATACTGCACTCTCAACCTAGCAGACCCTCATCGTCCATCGCTGCAGCTGGAAAGCAAGAACAGAAGAATTGCCCCAAATTCATCCTCTGGAAAAAGAATGGAACAACTGACTTAAGGAGACCATAATCCCAGAAAACTCTGCCAGAGAGGAATTGACAAATTTAGAGAGATCCTCTTTAGAGGTGCCACAATTACATTCTCACACCTGCAAGTCTTCTTGCATCTTTTCCAACTCCTGGGTCAGCAGGAAGCCTTCGGCCAGGTCCACCGCCTGGGAACTGGTCTCCGCTCTGCACTCCCGTACCCATTTCTCCACTGCTGGGGGAAGGACAGCCAGGAACTGTTCCAGGAGCACCAGGTCCAGCATCTGAGCCTTTGTGTGTCTTTCTGGTTGTAGCCACTGATGGCAAAGGCGGTGAAGCTGAGTGCAAACATCTCGGGGACCCCTCCCCTCCTGGAAGTGCACTTTTCTGAAGTGAAAGATTTTGACTTCTGATGTGTTGGCTTTCTCTTCTTGGCTCTTCTGCCCAGGACTTGCCTCATTCTTCCCACAGTTCCAAGGCTGAGCAGCCGTAGGGCTTTTTCCAACTCCTGCATCTGTTGGGTGTTGTCCTTCCATCTTCTCTCTGGCCTCTAATCCAACTCCAAAATGGACTGATGGATGTCCCCAAGTCTTACCAATCACAGGAAGACAAAACAAACCTTCCAAGGCCTTCAGCTCTCTTCCTTCACAAGATACTTAAGCCTCCAGAGGAACCAGGAAAGATTTCCAGTTTACAAATCTGAAATGGAAAACACAGGGTGTTCAACAGAGCCTCTTCCTCCTTCAAAATAAAAGTAAATATCAGAAATTCTTATAAAGCCTCAGTATCTGGGAAGAAGACAGCAATCTTATTAGTAAGACTTGACTTATCTACGTTTCAAGAAAATTCCAATAAGCCCTTTTGTATCAGCTTCAGAATATCGAATTAATACATTAAAACATGTTTTGGATTTTTTATTTCTGAACTATTCACATAATTTCAGTGGCTGCTTATAAATTTAAAAACTATCCCAGCACCTTCCAAATCATAAACATCCGAGATCACAAACAATTGGAGATGGAGTGGCTGTCTAAATCAATTGAAAAAGGAAATCAATCAACATTTGAACTTCCAGTAAAGCTTTCAACTAGCAAAACCTCATTAACCTCCTGGCCCAAACCCCTGGGCGAACTCCACAAGCCAGAATTAACAAACCTCCATCCAATGCATACAGAACTAATAGCCAAATGAATAAACCATCATGATGCTTTGATTCAGGCTCATCCTAGAAACAGTTCCCCCATTTTTAGCCTAATCCTGTCTTTTTCAAAATTGTCCAATTGAAAACGTGTGGACTTAAAGCTCCAGGAACTTACTACACTGGCTAAGCTTTAAAAAAAAAACACGGGCCTACTCAAACACACAGTGTGTGTGAATGATGGACCTCAGAACCAGGCGCACCTCCCTCCTCCAACATCTTCCTTATTTACCTGCCGGCACAGCCAGCTGGAGATAGTGGGGGGAAATGGGAAAGCAGGAAACGGAATTCCAGTCTTTGCACTAACTCACTCTTAACCCTGGCAACCAGCTCCTTCCACACGGAGTTCCAGCCTTGCAATGCAAAGCCAGCAGGAGGGACTTAGATAGATCGCTTCTCTCGGCCTAGGCACGGGAAGGCGAAAACGGGGGCCGAGAAATTTGCAGGAAATCGTCCAGGAATCAAAAGACTGACTCGGATGCACAAACCTCCGTTTTGCAAAGCCAAACCTCTCTCCCTCTTCCGCCTCTGCAGAGGTCTTCCCACCGAAATGGCTCTCTCCTTTCTGGCGATCCTGTAGGGTCCGGAGTTTTGCTTTCTACTCTATCTGGCCCGTGCACGCGCAGGGGCGGCAGGGGCGGCAGGGGGAACACGGGACCCCGGGCTTCCCTTTTCCCACGACCTGGAACATTATTAGGTTTTACACGTCTCCATGAAACCCTCTCCACCCTCCACCCACACTCTCTGAACCCCGAGTCGCGATTGGATCGCCATCCGCTACAATCTTCCTTACAGGCTCTTGGATTCCGGAAGAGCTCCGCCTAAGGCTCGCAGCGAGCAGAATAGAAAACTGCAAAGGGGGGGGGAGAACGCTCTCCCAGCCTCTTCTGAAAAAAATTCCCCGGGCAGCACTCGTATCTCTGTGCGCGCGAATAAGAGCCAGGCGCATGCCCAGTCCCCCCCCCTGAAGCGCGGGGGGGGGGCGGGCGGATGGAGGCGTGCCCGGCTCTTCCAGCGTCTACGGAGAGAGCCCCCTGCTGGATCCTGCGCGTAATGCCAGAGTTCTTTGCAAGGGGAGAAGGGATCATGTTCCGCGTGGGCCTGCGGTGATGGGCATGGGAGTAGAAGAGTCCAGTGGTAGGATTCAAATGTGTGAACAACCGGCTCTCTGTGTGGATGCCGCTTCCGGAAGTCCAATCTGGACCTGGGCAACAAAAAAAATTAGCTACCGGTTCCGCCGAAGTGGTGCGAATCGGCTGAATCCCACCACTGGAAGAGTCCCTTTTAATATTGCTTCCTTCAAAAAGTGGTGACTCAGGAATTGTGGGAGATGAAGTCCATGAGTCATAAAAGAGACAAGGTTGCCTATCCTTGGTATAGTTGGTCTGGGTGCGCCTGGGGAGATCTCCCCCTTGTCCCACCACCTCCTGTGCTTAAAGTGATTCAGGCAGGCTATGGGTGGGAAACCCACCCTTTTCCCTGGTGCTCAGGATTCTGGGAGTTCAAAATCAGACAGGACTTTATTTTTCACTACGTCCTCACTTGGGATGACCAGCCTTTCTTGACTGGTGTCTTGAAACCATTCATTCCCTTTCCAATAAAATAGAAAAGAGAATGGGGTTCTTGCTTGTCTCACTGGTGCAGCCTTTTCCTGCCCTTTCGTTGAGTGAGGTGTGGCTTTAATCCTGAGAAAAAGATGTGTTTCTGCCTGGTGTCAAACCAGGGACCTTTTGCCTGTGAGGCAAATGTGATAACCAGTACACCACAGAAACTACAGATATGGCCTACTCTCAGCTAGGATGCCCATATCTTTTGCTGGTCCTCCCAGTCTGACATCTACAGCATCAGAGGGATTAAGGCGATGATATTTCTTATGCTTCCTCCCCCTTTTGCATTTTGGAAGGTAAAAGCAATACAAATGTTTGAATCCTAGTAACAAAAAGCACTGACAGTGTGAGAACTGAAGCCTTCAGATGAAAAGGCAAGTACAACAGCAATCTATCACCGTCATCTTGGGATCATCTCATCAAGCAGGCCGTCCCTGGGTGGGCTCGAACCACCATCCTTCTGGTTAACAGCCAGATGCGCTAACCCCTTGTGCCACAGAGACTTGGCACAGGGATTGGCATCAGCCTCCCTCAGTCAGGAGATTCATACCTGGTGCCAGGGCTTCTTTTTGGCTTTTGTAGCGCGGCTTTTTTCCCTCCCACTGAAAGTTAAATATGAAGGGGATGAATTGTTAATGCATTCATATGAGAGCTTCGATTCCCACACTGTCAATGCTTTTTCTTACTGAGGCATAAATATAACCTCCAAGGTCCCTTCCAACTTTATTATTATTATTATTATTATTATTATTATTATTATTATTATTATTATTATTATTAGTATTATTATTATCGATCATCGCACAGTCAGCCAGATGTTCAGACTGGGTTTGGCATTTTGTCTACCTATCGAGTCCTTACCCAGGACCTGGGATAGGCAGATGTGGATGTTTGATGGTATTACAGATATCGTCGCAGGATGGAAGCAGTTCCTAGTAAGGCCGCCTTTTGCAATTGACTAATAGCGAATTTGTCAATGCCAATGGTGTTCAAGTGGCGTTCCAGTTGTTTTGGGATTGCACCCAAGAAGCCTATCACTATTGGTACTACCCTTGCTTGCTTTTGCCACAGTCTTTCTATTTCTATTTGTAGGTCTTTGTATTTTGTTATCTTCTCCAGTTCTATTCTGCTATCTCCAGGCACTGCCACGTCCACTATCCAGACTTTTTTGTCTTTCTTATCGACAATTGTTAAGTCTGGGGTGTTATGTTGCAGGTGCTTATTTGTTTGAATTCTGAAGTCCCAGAGCAGTTTAATTTTATCATTTTCTATGACTTTCTCTATTTTATGATCCCACCAGTTTTTGCTTACAGGCAAATGATATTTTTTACAGATCTTCCAATGCACCATTGTTGCTACTTTGTCATGCCGCTCTCTTGTAGTCAGTCTGTGCAATCTTCTTGCAACAGCTTACCAGGTGGTCCACTGTTTCTTCAGCTTCTTTGCATAGGCAGCACTTACTGTCTGTTGCTGTCTTCTCTATTATTATTATTATTATTATTTCATCTTTTGGGTCAGCTTTATCTTCCAAAATGCAAAAGGGATATAAAAGACACCCTACAGTAGGATTGGGCAACTATGGCAACTTTACAACCTATGGACTTCGACTCCAGAAGTCCACAAGTTGTAATGTTGCCATAGTTGCCCCCTCTGCCCAGCAGTATCTTTAAAGCTCTGGGCTTCTGCTGGCCACCAGAAAGAGCGGAGCGAAGTCCCTTTTAGCCAGAGTTAACGCAGCCCAAACGACCTTGGGCGCTCTCCGTGGTACTGAATCAGCCGCCCCTTTTTCCATTGAAAGCTTTTTCTTGGTGTCTGTCCTTATACCATCCATGGCTAGCTTTCCTGGGGCTCCCTGGTAGGGCAGGAAGCAAGCTTAGAGGGCACAAAGGACCCCTCAAATATAAAAGGAGGAGGATCTTGGTGGAAGAGGTCATGGGTCCAACTCTCATTTTCCCCATGGGATGGACCTCTGATCTCTCCGGGATTTGCTCCTGTGAATGAAAGGTTGCTGTCCAATATTTCCAGTGTAAATTGAGGATTCCTTGGGGCTCTCTGAGGTTGCTTGTTTTCTTGCAGACGTTTCATTACCCAAACTAGGTGACATCACCAGTGCTGGTAAAGAGTGCAGTTTGCTGTCAGTTTATGTTCTGGTGGCTTGCCCTGTCAGTGTTGGTGGGGATGGTCTTAGAGATTCTTTGATTGGGCTGTTTGCCGTTGGCAGTTTCTTGATTGGGGTATTGTTTACTTGATTGTTGATCTGATGTTAACATTGGAGATAATCTATGTGGATCTGGATGTTGATTGCTGGTGGAGAGGTGTTGAAGTCATAATAATAATAATAATAATAATAATAATAGTAATAGGGTTGGAAGGGGCCTTGGAGGTCATCTAGTCTATAGATTTGTCAGGCAGGAAACCCTATACCATTTCAGACAAATGGCTGTCCAGTCTCTTCTTTAAAACGTACAGTACATTCACCGCTTCTGGAGGCAGGTTGTTCCACTGGTTAATTGTTCTAACCCTCAGGAAGTTTCTCCTTAGTTCTAGGTTGCTTCTCTCCTTGGTTAGTTTCCATCCATTGCTTCTTGTCCTGCCTTCAGGCACTTTGGAGAATAGCTTGACTCCCTCTTCTTTGTGGCAGCCCCTGAGATATTGGAACACTGCTATCATGTCCCCCCTCATCCTTCTCTTCATTAAACTAGACATACCCAATTCCAGCAACCGTTCCTTATATGTTTTAGCCTCCAGTCCCCTAATCATCTTTGTTGCTCTTCTCTGTACTCTTTCTAGAGTCTCAACATCTTTTTTACATCGTGATGACCAAAACTGGATGCAGTATTCCAAGTGTGGCCTTACCAAGGCATTGTAAAGTGGTATTAATACTTCACGTGATCTTGATTCTATCCCTCTGTTAATGCAGCCTAGCACTGTGTTGGCTTTTTTGGCAGCTGCAGCACACTGCTGGCTCATATTTAAGTGATTGTCCACTAGGACTCCGAGATCCTTTTCACAGTTACTACTATTGAGCAAAGTACCACCTATGCTATACTTGTGCATTTGGTTTTTCTTGCCTAAATGTAGAACTTTACTTTTTTCACCACTGAATTTCATTTTGTTAGATAGTGTTCTTTGTTTGTTCTTTTTTGGGTTGGTTGATTGTCTCTTTTGCATAGTCTATAGATGTTGTTAATCTCTGTGTGTCTTTTGATGGCTGATTTGTCAGAGTGCCAGGCTTCTAGAAATTCCCTGCCATTTTTGGACCTGGCTTGGTCTATGATGGTCATATTTTCCCAACTGAAACAATGGTTAAGTCTATCAACATATTGTAAAATTAAAGAATTTTCATCATGTCTTCCGATGGCTAATTGATGTTCGAGGATCGTTCTGCATCCTGATCAGCAGAGACCACAATGGAAAACTAGAAATGTAAGTCTACAGAAAAACCACCCATACCAACCAGGTGCTCCACTACCAAAGTGACAACCCAACCTCCAACAAGAGAAGTTGTGTAAGGACTTTATTTAAATAAGCCCAAACACACTGCAGCAACCCAAAACAGCAGAAAAAGGAAATAAAGCATCTATACAACATTTTCAAAAAAAATGAATATCCACACAACTTTATCAAAAAGTCCCCGACCTTTCAAAGAAATGCAGCACAACCAACACAAACCCTAAAAGGAATTACACTGCCATACATCAAGAATATCTCAGAAACCACCAACAGACTCCCACAACCGCATGGAATCAGCATAGCACGCAAGCCAGCTAAAGCCCTTCAAAACATCCTAAGCAGACCAAAAGACCCGACAACCAAAGAAGAAAAAACAGGAATCATCTACAACAGTGGTGGCGAACCTATGACACATGTGCCAGAGGCGGCACTCGGAGCCCTCTCTGTGGGCACATGCACCGTTGCCCCAGCCCCGCCTCCTCCCACGGCCCCCTCCTCACCAGCAGCCCCCCGGAGGAGAGTCACCCCCGGGTGCGGCCCATGTGAAGCAGCCCATCCAAGGACATGGTAGCCAGGCAGCGGGGACATTCGCCCCGTTGTGTGCAAATGATGCTGCGGGGCATGGGCAGATGGCATGGTTGCCATGGCGCTGCTGTGATCTATGACAGGCCGTGGAGGTGGTGGGTGGCCCAGCAGGCAGGGTGGAGCGGGGACAGGGGTGGGGGGGACAGTTTTTGGGTACTTGGTCTCTAAAAGGTTCACCATCACTATAGTAGGCCATCAGTCCAAAGCTGATGCCCAGAACTTCCATTCAAGGAGAAAGAAGGATAACAGAAGGGGTGAGGAGAGTTCCACCGCCTGCGCCCCACCCCAGTTTC